TCTATAAACATATTTATTTTGTAAACATAGTTATAGAATATTACAAAGAAAAATAGAAATCGTCTACCTATACTTTTCAATGTAAAAAAAAATTTATAAAATGAAAAAATTTATGCGTGTTAGAAAACAATAATAGTATATTTACTGTTAAGATCCAAAAGTATAAGATTTGACGATTATAAATCTCTATAAAAATAAACGATGGAATCAATGACATTTATCAATCATAGATTTATATATAATGCTTGATAAACTTATTTATAAAATATTTTATAGGTTTTAATGAGATTATTCACATAAATTTATTGTTTTATGATTTAATTCTATAATATTTTAATTGTTATAAGATTTTATCATATTCTTAATATAAATTCATAATGTGTAAGAATATATATTTTTGTTATTAAGAATATGATTTGAATTCCATTTATGTATATATACATTTTTGGGTATGGATAATATGAATTAAGACATGAGAATTAAGATATAAATTAAATTTTAATGGTTTAAAATTCATGTTTAATTATTTCAAACTATTTTTGTAATTTAACGGGTTATTAATTAAAACTTAAAATTTGATATGAATAATTTTTAATGTGTTAATTAGAAATATTAGCTTTATTCACATTATTGATATTAAATTTTGATATTAATTATTTTTAATGTGTTAATTAAAACTTAAATTTTGATATTAATAAGGAATGATAAAACTCAAATAGGCAAGAACTCTAAAACATAACTTCTAATACATTTGCTCTTATCTCTACATTATTCACATTTTTTATTAGCTTCCCTTAACTAGCATAAAAGATTCTTAATAGTTAATCTAAAAATAAAAAATATAACAATTAGGAAATACATTTTCTTATCTATACATTATTCACATTTGATTAGCTTCCCTTGACTAGCATAAAAAAATCTTAATAGTTAATCTAAAAATAAAAAATATAACAATTAGGAAACACATTTTCTTATCTCTACATTATTTACATTTGATATTTGATTAGCTTCCCTTAATATGCATGAAAAATTCCACTATATATGAGAATGAAAAGAAGGAATTAAGAGTTAACCCCACTGAACAAAAAAACAAAGAAAACTTTAGAAAAAAAATATAAGCCTAAAAAAAGCGACAGAAAAGATGAAAATGTTGAAAGGAGGTGTGATATTATTAATCATAACCCTAAGCTTGTCCTCAATAATTGCTATCCGTGAAGATCTAGTTTCTAATGGAGTCAAGAGAGAAGTTCCAGGAGGTCCATGTCCCATACCTCCCCATCCTTCTAATTTGATTGGAGTCGAGAAAAAAGATCCAGGAGGCTCAGATCCTATACATAATCCTCCTCATCTTTCACTAAAAGATCATCATGAAGTCCCAAGTGGTCACAATCCTATACATAATCCTCTTCATCTTTCACTAAAAGATCATCATGAGGTCCCAAGAGGTCCATAATCCTCCTCATATTTACTAAAACATCGTCATTTAATTGAAGTAGAAAGAAAAATCTCTAATCTTATACATAAAACTTCATCTATCATTTGGAAGTCATAGTAAAACTCTTAACCGTTTGTAATACTACCTTTCATATGATGTATAACCTCAATTAACATGTTATAGTATTTTACAGAAGTATAATTCTGTTTTAATAAAAAAAAAGTTCTTATCTTTTTAATCATCCACCAACTAATACTTTCTTACAAAGAAAAATGAGTTCGGAATGGTAAAAATTTCGTTTCAGTCTTGTGTATAAAAAAAACAGCGAACCCATATCAGAGATATACAATACATGCTCTCATAGCATATTCTAAAGTCACACCTATTGTCTTGTTGGGCCTGTAAGAGATATTACAACTGATAAGAAATTGGGCTTTATGAAGCCCAAGTAAATAATACGCGTACATATATATTTTCACCGCCGGTTAATGCAATCTCTCTCAATACCACGTGGCACTTATTTTGTGGGTTGGATTTTTTTTTATTTATATAATTTGTAACCCTCACGTTGCGTCGCTTCTTCACTTGTCGTTTCTTCGTCTGGTAAAGAAATTTCACGCATCGATTCTACTCTGAGATCGCCGATTTGTTCGCCGGCCGATTTGCTTCCCCGGAAAGAGAAGATAGAGGTGGAAGAAAAAATCGAAGGAAGATAGAGAGAGGAAACAGTTATGGATTCTACACCGGTGAATTGGGAAGCGCTTGATGCTCTGATCATCGATTTCGTTAGCTCTGAAAACCTGATTGAAGAAGCCGGCGCGAATTCGTCTCCATCTCCACTATCGTCTCCTTCTTCTTCATCGCCTCCTTCTATTTCCTCTTCGTCTTATCACGCTAGATTGATCATTCGCCGGATCCGAAACTCGATTGAATCCGGTGATATTGATACCGCAATCGATATCCTTCGCTCTCACGCTCCTTTTGTTCTAGATGATCATCGGATTCTATTTCGCTTGCAGAAACAGGTGAATACTTCTGTTTGAATGCCTGCCAAAACTGTAGCCGATTAGGATATGATAATTCCGTATTTGGTATCTTAGGGTTGCTGGAAATTTGGTTTCGGAAATCGATTTTAGGGTTCTGCTTTTGTTTTTTCATCCTTTAAACTCTAACCTAATCTTGTTCTCGTTGTTTCTGTGAAGAAATTTATTGAGCTTTTGAGAAAAGGAACACATGAAGACCGTGTTGCTGCAATTGCTTGCTTGAGGACTTCTGTTGCTCCATGTGCTCTTGATGCCTACCCGGTAGTGGAATATTCTATCCCTTATTGTCTCTCTTTTCTCTAGCATACTTCACTTATCTACTATTTTTATGTTTAGTTAGATTCTTGTTCTGTTTGTGTATGCTTTGGCTCCACAATTATGTCATTTGAAGACTATAGGTAATAGAATAACTTTGCAATTGAATCATCATCTTCTTTGTAAGAGTGGTTTTTTTTTCTTTCTATTTTGAGTTTATCAATAAGTCACTGTTTTGCTGGTTCTCGGTGTATGAAGTTCTGACCTCTGCATATGTATCTTAAGGAAGCTTATGAGGAATTCAAGCATATCCTTCTTGCACTCATTTATGATGAAAATGATCAAACCTCTCCAGTAGCTAACGAGGTATGTCAAGCTTCTGCAGTTTTCTTTCTTTTAGGATGTTAGGACACAGAACGTCTTATGTTTTTGTTTTGTTTTGAACTGCTGCTATACATCATGCAGAATTTGTATTTTGGATTATAAGGAATGAGCTTTCTGTTCTACAGTGGGCAGAGAAAAGAAGGTATGAAATGGCTGGAATGATGTCATCTGTCTTGAGAGCTTCTTTACAAGCATATGATCCGGTATTTTCAATGACACTAAGATATCTGATAAGGTAAGGCTATATTCGTTTAGAGAACCACTTTTATTATCTCGTGTTCTTTTTCGCTCTCTGATTAACTCTATGTTCTACCCTTTACCAGCATACATAAAGGATTTTGTTTTCACCAAGGAATTTCCTCCACAGTTTCCGATCTCACCCATAGATTGCTCCTGGAGGAGCGTGATGCACCAGCCACGCCTCCGGAAAGCATGTATGAAGTACCACCGTTTGATGAGGTAATGTGGCAGTTAGCTTCTTGATCATCTGGTGAATGAAATGTCATTATATCTATAACACGCATTGTACTGAATTTTTAATATCAAATTTCAGGTGGACATACAGGCTCTTGCTCATGCGGTTGAGCTCACTAGACAAGGTGCTGTTGATAGCATGAAGTTTGCCAAAGGTGACCTTTTCCAGGCATTCCAGGTTTCAAATCCTCCGTCCTATCTTAATACTTTTCCTGCTTTATTCTCAATTCTCATCACTCCTCACCATCTATACGCTGTTTTAAATAAGATCTCTTGCATACACTTTAGTTGTGCTTGAGCTGTATAGTTTACCACATGTTACTTACTATTGTTGTTGTGTAATTCTATATAACTGCATTGCAGCCTAATTCTTGCTCCTACTTATTGCAGAATGAATTGTGCAGGATGCAATTAGATGTTTCGGTTCTTGATGAACTTGTTAAGGAGTACTGCATATACAGGGGTATTGTGGATTCAGGTTGGTGAACAACCTATAGGCAGTTTCAAAATCCTTTTTTTAATTATTCTACCTCTTTTTCTTGTTTGGTATTTTATAAAACTCTGATCCTCTAAACTTCAATCAGAGATGCAAATGATCTTGGTTCCTGCCAAGCGCAACCAATCGGAGGTGGGCCACAGCTTATCCAGAGATTGTTCTTCTGAAATAGATCTCAACACTAGTCAATATTCAGATGTTGAGAATGATAGCAACAATAGCATGCTTGATGGCGCTATCATAAATGATACCGAAATGTCTAGCAAACAAGGAGGTGACATTGGCACACGTCATGGCAGTGAACCAACCAGCGGTTGTGAAGATTGCAGCACTAGCTGGTCAAACCAATGTGAAAACACAAGAGCTCTCCTTAGAATCAGATCCCATATGAATTCTGAGGGGAATAAGCGCAAAAGATGGCGAGGGAGAGCTGATGAAATCGATTGTCTCTCTGATCTTTCATTTCCCAAGTCCAGTTCAGGCTTAAACCCTGTAAAGGACAAGTATGAGTTAGCCATAGCAATGAAGGAATTGGTTAGCAGAGGAATGGCGGCAGAAGCTGTTTACGAAATCAGCACCATGGATCCAGATTTTTTCACACAAAACCCGGCTTTACTTTTCCATCTTAAGCAGGTAATGTGCAAGAACACTTAAAGCTCTGTCTATTCCCGACAGGAAATGCTTATATTGTCTTCATTGTGCGCGGTGGCAGAAGTTAAAACTGTTTATAAATGATATGTACAGGTTGAATTTCTAAAACTGGTGAGTGCTGGTGATCACGATGGAGCCCTAAAGGTTGCGCGCTCTCACTTACGTCCCTTAGCAGACAACAACCAGTCTTTAGAGAAGCCATTGAAGGAGACTTTGGTAGTTTTACTCCAACCCGACGGGAACACACTTGGGAAAGATTTGCCTTTGAATGATCTTGCAAATACGCTACAGGTAACAATGATCTTAGATTTCGATGTTTTCTTCTGGTTTTGTCTGATGAAAAAGCTCAACAAATTTACTGGTGTTTGTTTCTGCCATTTTTTGTTTAATAAAGGTTTCTGTCGGTAAGAGGCTCGGGATCAAAGAACCGCAGCTTATGAAAATAATTAAAGCGACGCTTCACTCGCATACTGAGTGGTTCAAGCTTCAGATGTGTAAAGACCGGTTCAATAATCTTTTGAGGATAGATTGTTTGAAAGAAGTGAGCACTAATTTGATCGGTGCTATCAAATCAAGATCGAATAAAGATAGCAACACAAACTTGTCGTCTCAAGTCACGACTACGTCTTCAAGCACCATGACCTCCGAAGATGGTGGTAGCAGCAGCTTGATGACTCAGACTCAGACTTCGCCAAGAGAAGCTTTGTGGGAAGAAAGTGCAATTGTTAAAGTAATGGTAAGTATTTCAAGATCCTTATGAATTTGGGAACCCAATTTTATATTAAAAAATTTCGGTTTTTGCTTAGTCACGAGAG